CTAATTAATGTAGGTTTTTTACACTTTATACTGTCTCAAAAAAAAAAGTGAAAAACTATGATACAAAGACAAATATAATTACAAATTACATCCTATAAAGACAAAGGTTCAACTAGACTGAATTCCATAATTATAAAATATGCTACACTGTATTCTAAATCAAATCATACTCTATTCAACTCCCCTCAAAAACAATAATGGAACTTCAACTGGGTAAAACTTATTAAGACTCTATGTATTTTAGTCACTTAATAATATAGAAATCGAGGATTATATTAAGGAACCGATCGAACAAAGCATATTTTCTTACATAACATTTTTCCTATTCTAGCAAATCACAATAGCTGTGGTGATTCAAAATTAGGTTAAAAAAATATAAATAAAACATTTTATCTTAAATCAAAGTAATCATTTTTTTTTTCCATAATATATGTAAATTTGTAATTTTTAAATTAATTAAAAAGGTAGAAGTTCAAATGTGAGAATTATTTATTTTTAGTTTTGGCTTCTAATTAATTTTTTTTTTGTTTGTTTTTTTTTTTTTTTTTTTTTTTTTTTTTTGTAATATTATCTAGAAATTATATGATTGTATGAATGAAGTATTTAAATAATGAAGAAGATTATAACATAAGTTTTTATTGATGAATGAAATAGACAATAGAATAGATCAGACGTATTGTGAGTGATAAATTATACTATATTAAATCAAGTAATTATTCACATTCAAGTAAACTAAACTAAACTCCGTAACTAAATATGCTATTCTAAATCAATTCATATGTACATAATGTATTTACGGACAAAATAAAGGAACTTAGTCATCTTGTATGTATGTATGTAAGTCTGGGTGTGAGTTAATTCTCTTTGATGTAAAGTTATATAAAAGAGAAATAAAACCTACATTTCAATCCATCAAATACACTAAAAAAAAAAATTAATTCATAATATTCATATACAAATCATAATAAATAAATTCATAACAATAATAGTAAAAATAATAACATAACTTTCTAAGCCTTTAAGGTTTTATA